GTACATTCCGGGCCTGGGCCACAGCCCGATTCTGATACAAGGCACACTGGGGCAGACCCAGAGCTCTCTGGGACAGATACAGGGGGTCCAGCTGGCCCTGCGGCCACCCCATGCCACGGGCCTGACCCTGGGACCTCAGACGGGGCCCAGGCCCCATGGGGAACATCCAGGACCGCCTGGCACCCCAACGCTTGTCATTCCACAGAACCTGGGGCCAAGGCCCAACATCTTTCTGGCACTGCCACGCATGATGTCGCCCCCCTCGTTAGCCATAGTCCCGGGACAGCCACTCACGCTGCAACAGCTGCAGGCCATGCTGCCCACGCAGACCATGCTGGCCCAGCCCACACTGGGTGCGTTCCAGACAGACCAGCACCAATCCTTGGTGCAGATACCGACGTTCACCCAGCCGCAGATACTGGCGCATGCCCACCATCACCACCACCACCACCACCATCATGGTGCCCTGTCGGGACCTCTAATCTCAACAGGCGGCAGTATACCGTATATACTCGTGTAAGGGCCGCACTTTTTTTTCGAAAATTTTGCTAGGTGCGGCCCTTACACGAATCGGGCCGATTTAGTACAGGCAGTACAGGCCAAAGGTCTGTACTGTTTATGCAACAGTAGCAGAGTGCAAGAGTCACAAATGACATGCCAGAAATGTTTTTATTCGGATTCCATTTCGCTGTCCTCGTTCTCAGAGGAGCTCGCCTCGGCGTCCGCGTCTTCCCAGAGACGGTCATCTTCGGTGCCGTTCATGGAGTTCGAAATTCCCGTTACCTTGAAGCTTTTAGCAACTACTTCTACTGACATGGCACGCCACGCATTCAAAATCCATTCACACACCTGTTGGAGCGACGCCCGCTTCAGCCGTCCTGTAGGGGTCTTCTCGTGGACGCCTCCAGCCATCCATTCAGAGTAACATCGGCGAAATTCCACTTTGAATGGTCTGTTGACGCATACGTCGAGCGGCTGCAGCACACTCGTCAGGCCACCGGGAATGACGGCCAAGTCCGTACGAGTTGCGGCAACTCGGTTCTTGACGCGGTCGGTCAAGTGGCCCCTAAAGCTGTCCAAAACAAGGAGGGCTTTCCGTTGTAACAGCCCTCCAGGTCTGTTTGCCCAGACGGTCTTAATCCAGTCAACGACCAGTTCCTCGGACATCCAGCCCTTCTCTTGCGCACGTACGACGATTCCCTGAGGGAACTTCTCTTTTGGGAGAGTCTTCCTTTTAAATACGACGTACGGCGGAAGCCTCCTGCCGTCTGCCGTGATGCACAACATCACAGTGCACCTTTGGCGTTCTGCACCAGTCGTGCGCACAGACACACTTTTCGCACCTTTTAAATCCACTGTGGTGCTTTCCGGTGCATCGAACCACACAGGTGTCTGGTCCGCATTCCCAATTTGGGACAGGTCGTATTCATGCTCCCTCCTGAGAGCATTCACGAAGCGATGAAACTTAATGACGTGGTCTTCGTACTCGCGCGGCAGTTTTTGGCAAATCGTCGTTCGGCGCCGAATAGAAAGCTGGTTACGGTTCATAAACCGCGTAGCCCAGCCCCGACTTGCCTTGAATTGTGCCGGGGGTATTTCCATGTGGCGAGCGATGCTGAGGGCTTTGACGCGTATCATGTCAGTCGATACGGCGTAGCCGTCCCTTCGTGTGTCGACGACGTAGTTGACGAGCTCGCTTTCGAGTTGCGGGTACTTGCACTTTTTCCCGCGAAACGCCTTTCGGCTCCTGTTAGTAGCGGCGAGGGCATCTTTCTGATTCATCCAGTAACGCACGCGCTTCTCATCGACGTCGTACTTTCGTCCAGCTTCCCGCTTCCCGTGCTCCTCGGCATAGTCAATCACTTGCAGCTTAAATGCTGCAGTGAATGATCTCAGATGCCGGCCCATCGTCCGTCACGTGCGCTGGCTTCTGCAGGGTTCACTACAACCAACAAAGTGACACCGACGACACCGATCTGAAGTCGCGCTGCCAACGTATCGACACGATGCTAGGAACGATGCCAACAAAGAGGCCGCACAAGGCAAATATGGCGGCGCGCTGTCAACAGCGTGGTCGGCGCGTCGGCGGAAGTAGAATAAAAGCGGAAAAGCGTGCAGCGCCATCTGGCTGTAAATGAACTAACTACACTTTTCTGGCGGGACATTTTGAACTTTTGTTTTTTTTTTTTTTCGAAATATCCGCTTTCAAAGTTGGGGTGCGGCCCTTACACGAGGGCGGCCCTTACACGAGTATATACGGTAGTGTCCTCTGCACCCAGCGCCAACATTGTCACCCACCATCCTGTCATGACCTCGCGACACACGGTCCACTCTCGGCCTTTCCGACCAGGTCACCGTGAGACCCGCTTGTCGGCTGCCCCAGCGACCCGGCACTTCCTCCTGCGTCCTCTGCGCAACTCCCAGAGTCGCCCACCAGAGACACACTGCTTACCGATGGCCTATAAACGTTGACAACCTGGACTTGCCAAATGAACACTTTATGGATTGCCGTTCATGTATATACCATTTGCCACTTTCTTTTTCACATGGCGTTCAAATCGCGCAAAGCGCTAGGGGGGGAGCCCTGTAGTGCCATCATCACCATCATCATTTTTTCCATCACCGCGCCGCGTCTCTCGCGCAGCTGGCGCGAGCTCGAGCTGCGCGAGAATGAGAACGAGCTGACACGCCTGGCGTGGCGGACGCTGGTAGCCGACGTGGCTCCGCTTCAGGCCTGCAATAAAGTGGCGAGATCGGCACGGCCCCATCGGCCGCCTTCGGCGTCATCTCACGTCTCTCCTTCTCTCGCCGCTACAATAGTACTCAATGCACATGTTAATGGCTGCTAAGGGGGAACGAGAGACAGGAGCATTCGGCCTTTAGGTAACGCGCACGCTGCGATCCCCATTAGCAGCTATTGGCATGTACATTGAGCACGATCTGACAAGAAAGGGTTGCTACGTTATACTCGCTGGGTGTAACCTCCTTGGTTTTAGAAAGGTTTAGCGAGCGTTGGGCCGCATAGCCATGAATACAGTGAACTAGTATATACCATGAACTCAAGGTGGTTAAAGGTGGGAAGTAAACTTGAAGCGCAAGCCGTAAGAAAGTGTGCATGTGCCACCTCCCGTTTAGTCCTTGAAATGTCCGCTGGATGGCGGTGCTTCTATAAGGAGAATATATGATGAAAAGATGCGAGATGGTGGTACTTGGAGTGCTGAATAGATGGACGAACGGACACACAGACAGATGCATGGATGGACGCATGAACGGACGCAGGCGCGGATGCATGGACGAACGCAGGGACGGACCCACGAACAGACGCACGCACGGACGGGTGGATGGACGCATGGACGGTTACACAGACGTACGCAGGAACGGACGGAAGCAAGAACGAATGGACAGACGAATGCTTCGCCCCACTCCCCATCATTCACTCCGTGGATATGCTGCCATTGTTTTTTATAACAGTGATAATGTTGAGGCTCATGTACTAATATTTAGGCGTTTGTTAAAGAACTCCGGGGGTGTTGAAATCTCTAGAGCCATCTACTGTGGTGTGCCTCGTTATCATATCACAGTTTTGGTAAGTTGAACCGCCCCGCCACGGTGGTCTAGTGGCTAAGGTACTCGGCTGCTGACCAGTAAGTCGCGGGATCGAATCCCGGCTGCGGGGGCTGCACTTCCGATGGAGGGGGAAACGTTGTAGGCCCGTGTGTTCAGATTTGGCTGCATGTTCAAAAACCCCAGGTGGTCGAAATTCACGGAGCCCTCCACTATTGCGTCTCTCATAATCATATGGTGGTTTTGGGACGTTAAACCCCACATATCAATCAGTCAATTGGGAAGTTAAACCCCAACAGTTATAAGTATCGTTATTGAAATGAAAGATGTAAAGAAAGATGGATCATGCATGTCTGACCATACTGCACGATATCCTCCACTCTAATTTCGCTCTTTCCCCGATCTGGGTCTTAAGTCAAACAGGGACAGACTGAGTCTTTTTTTGCTCCAATTTAGCTTAGAAATGTCTAAACGTTTAAGAACAACAGTGATAACGAAAATTGGGGGACCCTTAAGCTTCGCCTGTCGGAGTTGAACACGATAGCAAAATCCGGCCCCTAATGCACCCTTCAACTGCCAAGTACATACTTATTCATATTGCTACGTAGCTGACGTATCAGCGGTCAGAAGACGACAACGAGGAAGTGGTCTGTCGGTTGTACGTGCTGCTTCCATCTTAGTCGACGCCATACGCATCATTTTGAATATAAATTTTAAATAGACACACCTCGTGTCATTTTTACGTAACAATATGTTTTGTTACATACACACGCACACAGTAGATTGGACCAGCGCGCGCTATTATCGCCAAATGAGCTCGGTTTCGTCAAGGCACCTGTCGAACAAAGTGCGTTAAAGGGGCCCTGATACACTTTTTTAAGAAACCATGAAATAAATTCACTAGAAGAGCTTATTGCCTCACGAATTCAACGCCGTAAAAACTTTAGGAATCCGTCCAGTGCGAGTGGAGTTACAATGGTCTGTTGCACGCTGCAATTGCATTGTTTCTCTCCTCCCGACGAAAGCGTTGGAAGCTAAGCAGGGAGGGGTGGCAGGGTAAAGAAACCACTGCGCCTCATGACCTTGAGCACTTTTTTCTTCGGCTTTTTCAGTGTGGTTGCGCGCGCACGCATGGACATGTAGCGGCCTCCTGTGGCTATCTTGGTAACTTGATTTTTCGGTCACAGACGATTTTTCGCTCACAAATAACGGGGCCGAGGCTGGCGGCGGGTTTTCTGTGATACGAGCTCTTTAACGCTATCGTGTTAATAATAACAATGGTGTCTATGCTGTTAAAGGCCTTTAGCATTAGAGTAGAGCGGGCATTAAGAACCTCATGCTTTAAGACCTTGCATGGGTGGGGCAGCATGACACACACTCACATAAACATAGCTCTCGGTGCACTTGCTGAAATTCTGCTTTTTCATTCCCTTCAGATGCCGAAGAAGAAGAGAAGAAAGCTGAACTCAAAGCAACAGCAAAGAAAGAACTTGAGGAGTGGTATGCAAGATATCACGAACAAATTGAAAAGGCCAAGTTGGCAAACAGGTGATATTCGCATACTGCACCCTTGTTATTTCGACTAGGCTGGGTTATTCCTGTGAATATTGTGTTGTTAAAGGGTCACTAGAGGGAAAGAAAAAAACAATTTTATCATGTTATTAAATTATTCTTTCACAATTCTGAAGCTACCATGCTTGCCTGGAAAAGATGCCTAGTAAGCAAGAAAATGCGCGAGAGAAAAAGAAAATGCGAGTGGCGATGCCCCTTGAAATCCCGCTCCAAACAGCTTGACATAACATTTTTACAGAAATTTTTTTTTCGCTCTTATGAAGTTTCTAATCTGTAAAAATTAAGTGCATTGTCGTTTGGTGGCGCTACAGACTTAACAAGATTGACAAAATTTTAATTGAGTTGATGTTGCCAGAATGTGGAAAATACTTTAAGATCTGCTACACCATATGGGGAGACATCAGTGCAAAATTTAAGAAACAAGCGTTCACTCAAATGTTATCCTTTATTAGTAAACCTATGATGGTGAAATTAACTATGTAAATATTCCCGGATTACAATTTGTCAATTTAAACTGTTGCATCGTTTCACTTTAGTGTCCTTTTAATGCTCGCACTGATCTTTTATCTAAATATTGCCATTATCAGATAAGGCTGGATAGGTTGAAACAGGCAGGTATCTTCGTTAGCATTGTATACTATAGTCCTATCATGTTTCGTATATTGAAAAACTGAATGAAATCATAGTAGGGGCCTGACATTTGGCTTTGCCTGTTATTTTCAAGGCCATTAAGAGGTTATTGCTAGTACAATTGTTATTATTTTGTGTACAAGCTTTATTTTGATGCATCATTATTGAGTGAAAGACCAGAAGAATTAGTACAGCACAGTTCATCATGCTAAAATGTCTGTGTTTAAGAAAAAAGGTTCCAGGCAGCCTCTGTGTGATTTCACTTGTGTGTGTTCTCTTACTTTGGTGTGTTCTATGTTACTTGAACAATGCATTTTAAAAGGTATTTTATTATGCAGCACCCAGTTGTTTGTATGTAATCAATAGCAATGACTCTATGCTTGTGTCAGTCTTTAGTACCGAGTCAGGAAACTTGTATGAGGTGTATGGACATAGCTGTAGTGTTCAGCTTTACATATACCTATTGGCAGTATGGGACATGCATTCAAAGCATAACGGGGAACTTGCAGAAAGCTTAGGCAGTTGAGAAGCCGTGATGGCGCATGGGGCAGGGAAGGCCCGTCTGAGTTATACTGTAGTTTTGTGAAAACCAGCAGATGATGAAGCTGTAAAAAGTCATATAGAGAACATTATTTGTACTGTTTTAAGTATAATGTAATAAATGTAATGTGAAGGAAGCAAGGGGGACGAAAAGACAACTTGAATCTTGCAGGGACCAGACCTCCAACCTTCAGGTGTCCCTGTGTCCACTTTACATTCTTCATATCAATATCACAATTACACTCAAACCTCATTGTGACAAACTTGCATATTACATGAAATTAACTTTGTTATATCCAAACATTTGTTATAAAAGTTAATTCTTAATACTAAATCAATTGAGATTTTTTTCATTCAATTCGTTACAATCGATATTTCGTTATATCCGCATGCGTTATATTGAGGTTAGTGTGTATTAGAATACCGGTTGTGTCAAAGGTTGCTTAAAAAAAAATAAACGAGCCGTCCGAAGTTTCCTTCCTTCATTCACACAAGTTTTGTGCTGCATTTGGGTCGTTTTTTGGACCCGGGCTCTATTAGCCAGTGCATTCCTTAATTGTTTGTGTTGTTGTCCTTGTCTTTTTATGTCATTGTCAGACATATTCATATGTCTCTTCCTTTTTTCCCTCTTGCTGTTCAGAGAAGTGTCCAAGTAAGTCGTCAACGGCTATTGCGTGGCTCTCTCATTGCGCACCATTACACTGTGTGTTGTGTGCTGTGGCTTTTTCTTCCCTGCACCCTTTTTTAATGCAAAGCTTTCCTTGAAGCCTCTCAATACTCCCTTGACTATACTGCTGCTATCTTGCCAAATAAGTTATAGTTTTAAAAATATTGAGTTCTGGCCTACGGTGGGCCCGCATCATAGTTCACCGCATCATTGAAGCTTCTTCTTCTATTATGGCTGCTCTTCCATTGAGGTACTTTGAGCGGCCCTGTAGCATTTCTTGAACATTTTCAGAAAATCTGCAAATCGGTAGTCAAGGTTCTTGTAGACACGAGCCAAACATTTTTGTGCAGCACGCAGTGTGGAACTTGTAGATAAATTTCAAAAGTCTGCTAGAAATTGCTTGTTCTTTCGGCAAATGATGCCATGCACCCAGTCAAAGCCTTGCATACCAAAAAGCAAATGGACACAACCATTTACTGCCGCAGTGTGACACACTATGACCATACCGTGCCCACACTATGACCATACCGTGCCCACACCGTGCTCTTTACACATTGCTGGTATTCCACAATGCAGTCACACCAGCACGCTTGTACTAAATGTGAGCTGAGTGTAAAAGAAAATTAGGGCGAAAGTTTCTGAAGATCGTGATGTGTGCCGATGTACAGATATAGCTTTCAGTGCACTGGCTGGGACGAAAAAAGAAAAAAAAGCACTTAAGTTGCGTCACAAGTCCTTGTAACCCGTTCTTAAAAGACCGATTCCAAAAGCTTTTGCGGTACTTGACTCGTGAGGCAATGAACTTTGACACTGTGGTTGTTTGACGATTACTTCTAGGACCCCTTCAAGATATTGCCATGCCTGTCTCAATGCTAGTGGGGGCGTGTACATCACTTTCCTGCTGGCAAAGCATGAAGGAAGAAAGTGGGGGATAAACTAGCTTTATTGCTGTCATGTCATTCTCGTGACATTATTGGAAAACCACCACCACCAGCACTGGTGTTTTAAAATAATGTGTTGCACGTTGTCTTCTTCGCTGGGATTCGCTACATCTTTCTCGCCTTAGTTTCAACAGATTGAATATGTAATTAACGCGTTTCTTGGCTGCTGATTCCTTTTGGTCCTAAGGATCATTGATATAGAACAGCTGTTTTGACGTCTCGGTTTCTCGCTTTGAACAAATCAATAATATTTCAAGACCATACGTACTGCAGTATAGTCAAGTGACTATGCCGCAATTATAGGTGTGATGTCATGGGCTCGGTTTTAGCTGCTTTGGCCATATTTTGATAGGGACAGAATGAGTGCGCATTTATGAAGGTTAGGTGGTCAAGATGATCTCATGCTCTCTTTTTGAGCCTTCCCAGACATGTGAAAAATCTGTTCTAGTAAATCGTAGTGAAGAGCCTATGCATATGTGCCTATATATATTTTTTTGGTTTATTGTACGTTTTGGAAACATATCAACGATTCATGCTCACATTATCACTGTATAAGAACAGTGATAGTAAAAGCTTCTGCAATACAGTGAAAACACTAACGAATCCCAATTTTGTGTAGACTGCAATCTAATGAAGTCTCCATTTCCCAATAAGTACCCTGTTCTAAACCTGAATGAACAATCTTGACCATCAAACTGGATTTGATAGTCTTTCCTGAAATAAATGAGTAAGAAGTAGTGACATTTTTTTAATTTTGGCATAGACTAGTTTTTCTTTTTGCATTAGCTCTAATGTTATCATGTTCAAAGAGCACTGACAGAAAATTTCAAAGGTGAGATAACGAATGAGGCAAATTTATCTGGAGACTTGCACATCTACGAAATATAAAAGGTATAAATATGGCCTAGAAGATATTAAAATGGATTTTAATGTGCATGCCGCGAGACTGAGTGAGACGTGGAGCCTCCTGTGACACCATAAATGTGGCCGGGGTGTAGACAAACCTATGCCCGCTTGCGCATACTCTCGCGCGCATCGCCACGTCACAGTTTTGTGTGGTCACATAGCCAGTTGTGCTTACCTTACTACCGGAACTGCTTGTGCCAGCTTAGTGCAATTTAATACCGAAACGGCGGTGGGCACTCTAAAAATGTCTCTAAATAAGTATCTGTCGCACACTCCTGCAATCGAGGTTTCCAGGCATGTTAGTGGTTTATACGCTTAATAAAAAAAAAGTGCAAACTTCTTGTCAGTGCTCCTTCAAAGCATCCAGGCACCTTAGTCAGTACTCGCTATATTTTGATGAGGCTGCACATCGCGCTTATACACAACTGAGTCGCAGTTGGTATGCAAAATGGCTTTAGGGATGGCAGTGGTTGCTTTCGTTCTTTCATGTTTTATGCGACAGCTCTGACCATCGGTTCCCAACTTTCCCTCTAGACCTGTTTGCACAGTCACCACATTCGCTCACCATCTCTTTGCATGTTGGTAGTCTTTTATAGCCTACCTGGGCTACATTGCCCTAGACATGAAAGCCCTTATATCGGGGTCACATGAGAGGCTCTATTTTTGAACCCCCCTGGGGCTACCCTCGTGGGTCTTTAAAATGAGTAGGTGTAGGTAGGTGGCAAAAATAATGAAGTGGTAGCTTTTGGATGTTGCTACATTGGAATTTTACATATCCAAGCACCAAAAAAATCCCTTTCTCAATTTTGCAAACTTTCCTATTCAAAGCAATCAACCATGGTCATCACTTCTTTAGATTTGATTCTAAACATTGTTCTTGAATCTAGAGATGACCCTGCCAGTGGTGATATTAAATATTAGATTGAGGGACTTAGTATGTGAAAAATTAGCAGACCGTCTCGAACAAAGGGCACACTTTTTAACAAGAGTTAAAAGAAAGCCTGTTCACTTCTTTGTCACATAAGGTCGGACAGCTTTAGACAACTAGCTAATTTTTAGGGCAAACTGACTCATGACAACACATTTAATGATATTGAGGGGCTTTCACCACTCCTAACATGGTGTTGGTATTTATGTGACGGTCCCTTTGTTGAACAAGCAGCTGCTGCCCCTCCTGTCTTGTCGCCCTCACCATGCTGTTGCAAATGTTTCACCTAATGCGATCATGCATTTAAGTGACATTTCTAGTTCTATTTTACTGTGACTGAATGTATTAGTAGGGACCTTTAGATTTGGCATCCTAGGTTAACACAAACATGACCCTTCCTGCATTCTTTCGTTAACACATGTGGGTTCCTTGTACTCTGAGTTGTCACCACAAGCCAAGTTTTGTGTTACACTACAATGCTCAATCTGAAAGTCCCTAATCTCCACACTTGTGTGCTAAGTCACTTAATGTTGCAATACAATGATCACCTGTTGTTGTGCTAATGATGTAAATAATACCAACAAAACTAAAGCGATTCTCCCTATTACATCTAAGCGCAGGAGCGGCAATGCCTCCTAAGCTCACTTTCGCAGTCCAGAAGCCTGTGCGCTTTTCCATAGCTCTAGCAAACTGCACGGGTGAGCACACTGAAGAAAATTGTGTAGTTATGAGCGCGTCAGGAAAGCGAAAACAACTCCGAAACCCACAATAGTCCTTCATTCATATCATTTCCAACGAAAAGGAAGCAACTGTTGCAAGTTCCTGAAGTGGAAAACGCAACCACAGTGGCGTCGTTGGTGTCAGTCAGCGACTGCACGGAAGCAGGTGTAATTGCGTGCCAAGCAACTATAAATGAGATGGTTGCAAATCTGTCAAACTTTTAAAGATTCTAAACCAGAAAGCCGTCAGTCTTGCGGGCACAATAAGCAGGAACTGGCCGAAGGACAAAACTGAAGCTAGACGGCGCACTGCTGTACTAGAGCATAAATATAGAGACTGAGAGCCATTGGTGCTAGAACAAAGTGCACGTATTCCCGCAGTGTAGCAGGACATGCCATGCAAAAGAAATGATAGAAAAAGACACTCGTTTTAAATATACAGGCAATGACGTACATGTACATCTTTTACTGTCTTGTGGCTGTTTGGGATGGCGTACATTTATGTCTTTGACTGTCAAGGGGTCAAAGCATTTTGGACAAATGCTACTTTTGAAAATGCAGTAACATTTAATATTTTGTCTTTGGCCCGTGCTTCTTATAACCATGCTTCGTAACCTTTCAGGAACGCTGAAAAAGAGTGGGTACACGAGCGTGACTCGCCCGCACCCAAGGGCCAGGAATGGGAAGCCATTGCCAAGCTGTGCGACTTTAATCCCAAGGCTGCACGCAATAGCAAGGACGTGTCTCGCATGCGCTCCATCATTTTGCAACTGAAGCAGTCTCCACCACAGACAAACAAGACACCTTGAGGTGTCTAATTCATCAGCCTGATACCCTTCAGTTGTACAGGTGGGTAGTGCTTGGTAGTATGGAACAATGTGGGGAATATTTTGTTACGGTGCATTAAGTGGACTGTTCACTCTAGCGGGTGTTGATAGGATACACCTCAAATGCTGGTTGTCTGATGTCCATTGTGTACGAAGTCTCAAGCACTCTCGGAAAAAAAAAAAAAAAACTGTACATTCTAGTGTAAGTGCACAAGAGAGCATGCATTGCACCTTCAGATTATTCAAATGGCGGTTCATAAACCTCGTAGTGTTAATTTTATGCCTAGAAAGTGCTTATTTTGAAATAAAACTGCGTTTTCGTGGTCCGCATCGGGTGACACACATCAAGTTACTCCCGAAGCTGAACGTCTCATGTCACTTTTGCCATGCACAACATTGCTCGACTTTACTGCACGGCTGCCGACACTAGTAGCAGCAGAATGAAAGCAGCGGGAGCCACAGCAGCAACAGAAATTCAACAATTTCCTGCTACAGTCGCCGACCGATTTTTCGGACTCCAAAAATTTGGACTTTTTGGATATTTCGGACTTCAGCAGTGCACCCTCAGGGTTGCCACAGGGTTAATGCATTTTTTCGACCGATTTTAGGACGAATTCGCCCCCGAAAGTGTGATTTTTCAGACTAAATCGCTTGTTTTGGGCTGTGCCATGAACCTGTATGGACGCCGTCATGTTGGATTTTCCGCTTGCTTGACTAAGCTTAATGGCTTAATTTTAAATTGGCTTTCCTGCCCCCAAGATTGGAAAGCAAACATCATATTTCAAGTTTTGGCGGCCGTGTCTGCTTTAGAAAACGCGACACGGGACCATTTTTTCGTCTTTAGTCAGCCAAAGTGGTCAGCACTGTTGTCATCGCACCGCACAGGGAGGAGGCGGAGCTGCGCAGTGGTGAAGTGAATGTGCCTGCCACAATGACACTAGGGAGTTTTAGAAAAGTGCACCGCGAGTGCTTGCGGTGCAGTCGCTGCCACTGCGCATGCGTGGTAACGCGAGTCGGTGATCGCGGCCAGAGAGGCCTGCGAACTGTTGTCTGTAGCTTCCGTGCAATTGAGTTTTCGTTCGGGGCGAAAGTTCCTAAACTTTTCCCTAGGGGGAGAAAACGCCATTTTAAAACTCGTAATGCATCCGCAATACCCGCAACGCCTGCAGCACCTGCAAACGTTATTCTAAAACTTCCAATTTAAAGACTTCGCTTGTGGGGACGATGACATTTTTGAGCGCGGAGCCCACCGACGAAGAAATTCTTTGCCAGGTTGTGCCGCAGCGGGAGAGCGGTTCGGATGATGACGACGATAATCGCCAGCAGCTGTCGGCAGCGGAGATCGCCACCGCGGTGATGCTTTTGCCTAGCATTTATGGTCACCTAAAACATGCCATGTCACCTTGGCGCAAATATGGGCGAACCAAATTGCTTCCAAGCAAAGTATGAGGCAAGGCAGTATCATGGACTTTTTTAAGCCTGCCTGATGCAATAAAGTTCATATTTCTGGCAAAAACGAATTTTTCGGACTGTTCGATTTTTCGGAATTTTCTTCGGTCCCCGCCATGTCCGAAAAATCGGTCGGCGACTGTATTCGCTCATAGATGGCAGCTGTTATTGGTTCAACTGGGCCCCACTTGATGGCACAACCTGTCGAGTTTAGCCAGGCAAAAATTGAACTTTTGAGCCACTCGTGCCATTTGCAATAGTAAAGTTCGGTGGTTCTTTTTTTCATGAATCAAATGAACAAGCAGCGTTTTATTACATCTCTTGATGCATGGAAGGTTTATTTAATGCTGCTAGTTTGATTACTTGTGAATAATTGTAGGTGGCACTTCTGACATCATCAGGATTATTTAGCGAGTGTTATATCGTAGTTCATGTGTTCTCGTGCATTTAGCTTAATTTCTCGGTAAGTAGGGCACTGCAGTTGATAATATTATCATTTCAAACATTGTCATACATTGAGCTTTCACTCTGACTTAAATTGTGATTTTACTTTAGTGTCTCTTAGAAGATTGCATATTTGTGCATTCCTCAAGTGGCTGTAAATAGTTTTGGGCAGTTCACTGGCAAATACATGCGTTGCTACATCAAAGTACGTTGCATATGCATTGTCTGGACAAAGCTTGCCTAGCATCTTGTCTGTTATTGCTGATATCCTATTATAGTCAGGGCTGTTAAAAGTGGAGTTGGTGGCTTTAATAACAGAGGTAGAATTGAGCAGAGTAGTCTGTTGCATCTGAAAGCGACATGGATGGAGATCTGTTGTACAATAAGCATGGACTGTTGCCGTAACAGTACCATATGTAATAGTAGATTTTAAGAGGGTCTTGCAGGGTCACCTAAATTTTCTTGTTTTTATCTGTTTCAGGAGTACTACATGAAATGCTAGACTGTGGATGTGAACTGCTGGTTGAAGCATCTGATACTGCCTGCAATAGAGATGCTGTTCAATGTCTTTCCCTTGTTTCTTTTGCATAATTTGAAGAACTTATAGCGACGAACTGTGACTCGGTGTTTTTACCGTTGCTTTTTTTCATGTAAATTCATTTTTCTGTGGTTTATTGCTGTCTTATAGTAGAGTAGTATTTCTTGTGTATTATAATGAGTAGAAATATTGGTTTTGTGTTATCCGCAAGAAGTTGACTTTTGCAAAGGAAAAATGAAAAGAAAGTTCAGGAATTCAACAATAGCATAACGGAGTCGAGTCTGTGTGGAAAGTGTTGTATAGAAAAAGCTATTACCGAGGAAAAAAAAAAATTTTTGTTCGTGTGCTATGGAAAGATGCTTCTCATCTTTCAGAAAACTGTTATATAGTTTATGAAACAGTTATAGTTCTGAGATAGTGAAGAGCCTTTTGATTTAATGATCTTGAGCATGGTTTTCGGCAACTTAATTATTTTTCAACCACTTCCGAAAGTTTTTTTTTGTTCTCATTTGCAGCTTTGTAATAAGCTGCTGGGGACTCGGTACATTGAAGGCTCCTCAGTCTAGTGCGTCCTTGCTTTGCACTGTGCATTTGATGTTAATGTGGAAGCAGCTGTGACCAGTGATCGCGAGTGATTCTACTATTTATGACTCGGTTCTTAAATAAACTGAGAACATTTCTGTTTAAGAAGTGTTTTCATGTTCAATGGTGTGACATGTGCTGATGCTGTTTCCTTTCTTTTTGTAAACAATATCGCACTGTGATTTAGTTAGATAGCACATCAAAAGTGTTTCTACTGGCGCGTGTTGCTAGAGGATTGCATCAAAATAATACCGCTCAAGGAAGGCGTATGTCACAGGCAGATTGAGACTTCTGCGGTGTCCCAAGGGTTGATCGGGTGTGCCTCGGGCTGAAAATTAAGCTGCCTGAAATGCTAACCCAAAGTAGATTTAAAGGGGCCTTGCAACTACGAGCATAGTCAGAAAACGCTGCCGATCAGTAGTAGAGGCTCCCGATAACACAAGAGCCAAATATTATAGCGCAGCACACTGCCTGGAATTCACAATAAATTATCAGTCAGCTAAAAGTTTCTTTCTCTTCTCTCGACAAATCGCACAATATACCCAAAAATCACACATAGCAAGCCCATCTGTCAGCCGTCGACTGATTTGAGCATGGCACGCTCACTCGTTACAGAGATCGCCGCGGGAGGCCGCTACTTGTCCACGCGTGTGCGCGCGATCACTCTGAAAAAGCCGGGCATTCAAAGAAAAAAAAAGTGCTCAAGGTCACGGGGCTCGTGCGACGTTTTTCTGTGGCCCTTCTATAACTCCCTGCTTAGCTTCCCGCGCTTTCATCGTGATGATAGAAGATAGAAGAGAGAAAGCGATAGCAGCATGCGACAGATCTTTGTAACTCCGCTTGTTCTGGATGGATTCTTAAAATTTTTGCGGCGTTGAATTCGTGAGGCAATAAGCTCCTTCAGTGAATTCTTTCCATGGTTACTTGAAAAAGTGTTTCAGAGCCCCTTTAACAAAAGTAATTCTGTAATTGACATCCAATCTACAATTCGAACATTCATAAAAAGGGTTAATATGGCACAAATGGGGGTAATAATTTATGTTAAACACCCACCCAACTTCTTAAATTTCTGAGGTCTACCCACTATTATATACATTTTCAAATATTACCCTTATATTCTGTACACACTAAAAGCAAGTGCCAGAGGTCCAGCCTTGCATTCTTGGGAGGTCTCTAACAAAATCGATCTAATTTGAATGGCATCCACACAAGGCTTTTGCTGGTTACAAGTGTCCTTTAAGTATTTAACAGCAAGAGCTGAAACCACAAAGTTTTCAAAACCAGGCTCTGCTATGGCAAGCTAGCTCAGATGCTTCCGGCTCTTAATATGTGGCCAGTGCAGTACTGCAAAAAAAAAAAAAAAAAAATCATATGGACAATAGATTGGGAAGGCTAACTTAAGTTTCTGTCTCACAAATTCTATAATTTCTTGCTACGTACAGCACAAATGAAATTTCAAGAAGTTAAGTGGTGACGACGAGCTGCTCTCTCTTGCTGGCTGCACCCTTGTCCTCTATAGACTGTTTCCGCTTCGGGAGCATTGTCAAAGGCAGATGTTTGCGTATAAAGAGTTACGCTTTTTGGCCACGAATCTACGAGGCTTGCACTCTGTAAACATGTTAATGCCAAGGCTTAAAGTTGGGCTGCTTTGATGTGGTTAGAGGTAACAAAATTAGCGCTCGTGTTGTCAGCTTGGCTGATATTAGTGCCAAGTTTTATTTTCTACCTTCAATCATGTAAACATGTTCACTCCATTTTTGCTCCTCATGCTGCCGGCATCGTCGTCCCCTAGTCGCGGGTGAACTCGCTTCGCCAGATCGTTTTCATGTCAGCCGTTGATTCCTCCATCATAGGCATTGCTGGTGCACGTAAAGAAAGCGTGTTTTGACAGAAGTGGTTGAATTTTCACTGTTCTGTTTACCGATACAACAGACCCTGCGCAATGTCTATTGGCCTTTAGAAGCTTTAGCACGGTTTAATGTGAGCGCACCCATGCTGACGCTTGATGATACAACTCCAATCCGACGACTAACGTTCATGATTCATTAAACAAAACTTGCGGTTATAATGTTGAGAGCGTTATCAGACAGTGGGGTGACAACATGAAGAGTGTCTTTTGTCGGATGCTGAACTTTGGTGACGGTCGCCACTGGCCTCGGCATGTTGGTTATTGTACACTACAATTGGACTAGGAGAATATGCGACACATGCCTCCATTTCCCTTCTAGTCTGGTGAGAAACGTAAGCTTTTTCTAGGCAGTCAATTCTATTTATATAGGGGGGTTTAAGGAACTGTACATGAAGGTTACTGTTATGATGATAATGTTGATGAAAGAGATGAAGCCGGGCTATTATAGGCCGAGTGACTAGTACTTTTTTTTCTCGCCACCCCCACTTGCTGCTGCTATGTGAATCTTCCGAATTTCGAGGTTGCCAGGTTGGAAGGGCCACGTTTGTGATCACAGGGTCTAATTATTTCGTGTAAAAAAGTATACCTCACCCCCGTAACCTGCTACAAATCCGGGTTCTCATTCTCTGAAAGCAGTATTTTGTTGCTCCAACAATTGCTCGAAATTCTATTTCGCCTGTTGCGCCCCTGCACCGTGTTGTATATTGCATATTGACGGCAGCCCTGTAAATTATATTGCAAGGCTACGCCCCGTCTCTCCTTTATTTGTGCGCACATTTGTATACCACGTGGCAAGCTCGCTGTTTTACTTAGCTGTACGTGTCAACGCTCAGTGGTAAGTGAACACATGTATTAATGTTTTTGTTGATTTCATGGATGCGCGAAAACATGATCGTAATCGATCACCATCTCAACTACCCCCTTCTCCCTAAAAAGAAAGAAAAAAATTACAGCATATACACGGAGCGAATGATGACCGGGGAGTGAAGCTTCGGAGGGTTTTATCGGTAAACCATAAATCATCCGTCCGTCCATCCGTCCGGCTGTCTGTCCGTCCATCCGCACCTGCGGAGTGAGTCATAAAACTAGGCGGCCACGTACCAAGACATGCATGTGCAGACACGGCTTAAGGAGCTTCGCCTCTAAACGACTTGAAAGGGCAGCTTCAGGCAGAGTTTACGGAGACTTTTAATATCCTGCTACAATGTGCCTCGCGATGATTAGCGTCGAATATTATGACCGCAAGAACGGTTTTTATGACGGTTTTTATGACAGCGCACACAATACTTAGCTGCTTCGAGTACGACCCTCCATCCGTTCTCTCTCCGGGAAAAACGGAAAGTCGCACCTACGCCAAAGTAAGTGTTCTGTGCGCTGTATGGCTACGCCTACCCAAGCTACACCTGGGTGCTTGGAGCAGAAAATAGTTGGCGTTAGTGGTTTTGACATTAGATCAAAGGAACTTGAAGAACCTCTTTCGGGGCACGCACGTTGTCAATTCACTTCTAAGATGGTTTGGTTTCAGCGATAGAAGCGCTTATTATGTTTTGTTAATCGCAGGTTAACCGGCACATTCGCGCGTGCATTTTGAGTAGCGGAACACCAGTTGGTGCTGCCATCGAGTGGTGTAGGCGAACACTGCCTCCGAACACGTCGCTACAAGTCGACGGTCCTGGAGTCTGCGGCTTTCGTTTTGTGTGTTTGATAAAGGGCGGCGCAAGTGTCCCATGGCGCATTTCGCCGTACGCGTGGGAAAATTTAGAAAGCGGCAGATTTTAATTTTACGTGGTCGCCTGTCATCTGCTGATTGCGTGCAGCTTGGTGCTGTTTGAATTAGCACGACGAAGTTGCGCGCTTCGGAAGCGGTACTAGAAAATTTTGCGCTAGGTATATCAAAGCACGTGAAACATAAATTATGGATATCTTTGATAGTTATGAAAGTTATGAGTTTGAAATTATGGATATTTTTGTACGTAGCGTTAGACATTCTTGACTCGAGAGCAGGTGTGTGCGATACTCGAAACTTCGAACACAAATAGAGTTAATCTTCTCTGCCATGTGGTTCATTCAAGACTTGAAAGTTCCTATAGAAATGAAATCAATCGCCTCTGCCGTATCGATTTGTGTACGATTCGAGCACACAAATCATTTATGAATACGGCGGTATATACCTTTATGAATACGTTTACGAATACCTTTATGAATACGGCGGTATATAGTATTTTGATCTCATTAAATGATACAGAACGTCGTATACAATTTTATATAGATGCGAAGCTTCTTAGGGTGCATTGCTTTAAGTCGAGAGTCTCGGAGTCTGCGGCTGCCGTTTTGTTGTTTCATAAAGGGCGGCGAAGTGTTCCACGGCACAATTCGCCCTGTGTGACCACCCTTACTGCGCATGCGCAACAGGTGGCCCAAGCACTGCCAGAACGCGCTCACGTGTAAGCGCGTTCGGGCCTGTGTAAGGGGCGGGATAGGACGCTGAGGCCTCTCTCCCTTACACTCTCTCAGGAACCACGTAATAGCGTCGGGGAACAACATACTGCAGACGCGATATCAACCAACGCGTGCGTTGTATCCCAGCAGAACGCGCTTGGCGCGCGCTAGCGCGTTCTGGAATGCGTAAGTGGCTGCGTAAGAGGCTGTGGCCTCTCCCCCTTACACTCTCTTAGCAGTCACCTGATGGCGTCGGGGAACGAGATTCTGCAGACACGCGATGAGCGCACGTGCTCCCAGGTGGCGTGGCAATGAACCCGCGTTTAAGGTCCCTAGATGAAACTTGTTTCACCTAGGGACCTTACCCGCGTTGCGTGCTACATCATTCAGGACTAGTAAGAGCAACAGAAACTACACTGAATTCATGGTGTGTTCCACTAGCAAGGACGCGTTGATATTGGACAAGGTGCCCGTGACGAACGCAACTTGCGCTGAAACATTGCCCCTGGGCCAAGTCGACCCATGCGCTGCTTCGCATGCTACGCATGGTTTCCTTCAGTGGAAGATGGTGTAATTTTAGGGGCGAAGCTTCTTAAGCCGTGGGTCGTGCGTCCCCGATGTAGTAGTAGTAGTATTAGTAGTAGTAATAGTAGTAGCATCAGCAGTAGTAGCAGTAGTAGTAGTAGTAGTAGCAGTAGTTGTATTAGTAGTAGTAGTCGTACTTGTAGTAGTAGTCGTCGTCGTAGCAGTAGTAGTTGTTGTAGTAGTAGTAATAATAATATTA